TAACAGACAGAACAAAGTGAATTACCAAGCAAAATAAAATAAAACATGCAAATCTAAGCCTAATACAGTAATACAACTGAGTACAGATAAAATCTCACCCTGAAAAATGTTTCAATAAGTCTCTTTCACAGACTGGACGCCTTCCTAGTCTGGGCACAATCCTTTCCCCCTGGTACAACCCTTGTTCCAGCTCAGGTGGTAACTAGGGGATTCCTCATGATGGCTCCCACTTTTCTCTGCTCCACCCACTTGTATATCTTTTGCATAAGGCGGGAATCCTTTGTCTTTCTGGGTTCCCACCCTCCACCCCTTCTCAATAGAAAAGCACCAGGTTAAAGATGGATTCCAGTTCAGGTGACATGATCACATGTCACTGTAAGACTTCATTACCCACTTGCCAGCACACATGTATACAAGAAGACTTACAGGTAAAACAGCCATCTGCAGTAAATTGTCCTGGTTAATGGGAGTCCTCAAGATTCCAAATCACCATTAATGGCCCACACTTTGCATAATTACAATAGGCCCGCTATACTTACCTACATGCCTCAAGATTCCAAATCACCATTAATGGCCATCTTCAGAGTTCCATAAAATCTCACCACCAGCTCATTGGCCTGAGGGTGATATGGCAAGGCCCAGGTGTGCCAGACCCCACACTTCTCCTACAAGCACTGGAGCAGGGTTGACATGAAGTTGGACCCTTGGTCTGTAAGGACCTCCTTGGGGAACCCCACTCTGATGAAAACGGTCAGCAGCACATCCACCACAGTGTCTGCCTTGATAGAGGACAGAGCCATGGCTTCTGACTAATGGGTACCAAAATCTATCCCCACCAGAATGTATTTTTTCCCTAACCGGGTCGCCTTGCTGAGGGGCCACACTAGGTCCATGGCCACCTTCTGAAAAGGCTCCTCTATGACAGGCAGGTGTCTCAAGACTGCTTTACCCTTGTCCCAGGCCTTTTGCACCTCTGGACAAGACAGCCCTGGCTGTGGTTCCCCATACTCAGCTGGGGTCTCCAATCCCCCTGGGCTCAGCTTTGCTCCTGCTGTTCCTGTGTGGGCTCATAGCATTAGAGCCAATGTTAGCCACCTCGCCCCATGTGCAGGGAGGCAGGGAGTATCTCTCTGCCCTACTCAGCTCCAGGGAGCTGATTACAGACAGGCAGGTATCCTGAGCTTAGCAGCTCCTCCCCATTGCCAGCCAGGTCATTTGCATTTTCACTGACTGCTTCAGTCTCAGCCGATTTGGTTCCCCGGATTTAAATTCAAATCCTCAGCCATTAATGGAGCAGGGCCTGGATCGTGTCCCAAAGAGACAGTCATCCCCCAACTACCAGCCAGCACGAATACTCCTGTGTCTGCACAGAGATCTGAGCCATAGGCAGGGCAAGTGGCTTCATCCCTGGGACCTTCACCTAGGTCACATAGTCCTCCAGCAGCTGGTGAGTCTGCACCACCGGGGCCTGACAACAATTCTCTCCGTCCCAGGATCTCGCCACCCCAGGAATGTCTCCCCATTGACCACCACCTTCCAATCCTACTGGGGGGCCGAAGGGCCTGAGCAGAGAAGAGTACACGCAGACATATATGCTGGGGCCAGGAGTGAGAGCCGTCTGCCACGGCCTCAATCTGGCTAAACAGCTCTATGGCCTTGGGACCCAAGAAGGAGGCTAGAGACCGGAGCCCTTCCACGGGGCCAGCCTGATTCCAACTGTAAGCCTTCCCAAAGGCCGTGAGACAGGCATCTATATCCCACCTCGTCCCCTGCTTAACCTGGGGCAGCAATTTAGTATTGAGGTTCCCTGAGGAACTGGCACCCTGGGGTCCATCCCCAATCACCCCTGGAGGGGTCCTTCTGCCTCTCAGCTCTGCCATCGCCAGTTCATGCTGCCGCTGTCTCTCCTGCTGTTCTGCTTCATGCCGTCCCTGTTTCTCATGGTCCTCTTATGACAAATTTATGTTACCAAACTGCCTGGGGCGTCAGGTGATCAGGCTGAGGCCGCAGGATCTTTCGGGGAGGAGATGAAGGAGCACACCAAGTGACTGAATTTTAAAGCTTTATTAATAAAATAACAGCGGTGAGTGTTGGGACTGCTCCCACGTCACTCAAAGGAAGCAAGAAAGCATTAGTACTCCAGCCCTAACCCACTTTCATACTCACACACACACGACCCGAGGCTGGCCAAGCCTGGGTATAATGTAAGAAGAAGAGGGGGAGGGGTGGACGGGAGTTCTTGTCCCGTGCACGGGTCGTCCAGGGTCTGCTGTGATCTCCGACTTGCTTTGGCTCTCGGGAGGGTTCTTAAGTCCTGGGTTCTTTTGGGGGTGTTTTGTTCAGGAACCTCTACTCCAGGTGCTCTTTGTACCAGTCCAAACCGCCTTTCTGTGGCCTTCTCAGCTTTCCCAAAACACACTGGCTTCAGGGACGCGCAATCTTGTTGTCCCGCCCTGTTGGCCTTCGCCGTCTCGCTTGGTATTGCACTCTTCGCAGTCCTGCTCAGCTTAGTCCTCCTTTCCTCATGGCTGGCTGGGGTTGGGTAAGATGTGAATACTGCTGCAGACTTCTCACCATGACCTTGGACCGGGGCCAGCGTCTTATCTTCAGACTGAGCTAGATGAAGTGTCAAGTTAACCCGTTCTCTGCTCTTTTCCTCTCTCCCCCTTTCGCCTCTCGCAACCTGCAAAGGAATCTTCCACTCCACACTCACACCTTTAACCCTTCCCAAAATGCTTTGCGATGCTTGCAACAGCGTTAGCGACATACAATGGTGATCTGCCTCTCCAGGGGACCAGAGGGAGGGGGTCATTGGGTTGTGACACTCTGACTCCTTCAATCTCAGTTCCAATTCCATCCATCTCAGATCCACCGACGGGGAATCCGGTGGAGACCCCCTGAAGGTCAGAGACATGGGTCTCCAGGACCCCCGGCTGCTCCCAGCCACTCTTGTGCCCCCAGCTGGGTCAGGAACCAGCTCCTTAGAGTGATCCTCCTCTTCCAACTGAGCAATCAGCTGTGCCTTAGTGAACTTTCCAATACACATCCCTCTCTTTCTTTGCACAGCTCTACAATGTCCTTCTACAATGAACATCTCCACACTGTTCCCAAGTGGTCGTGGATTCCCAGGCCTGTGCTCTCTCAGCTCCCCATGATCCCTGGGAGGAACCCCTTCAGTGCAACAGCCCTTCTCGGGGGTCCACTCTCTCTTGGGGTTAAGGCGTAGGCTCCTCCGCCTCCTGGAACCGCACCTCTCTGAGCCTTCAGCACATCTTTCTCTTGATAATCCCTCTTTGTTTTACTGCTGCCTAGTCACTTACAGGATGCTCTGTCCCTGGGGTGCAGTTTATCCCACTGCTACCACCAGTTGTCATGGAGTAACCAGGCAATGCTCTGGAACTATTCCATATGAAGCCAGTCATGACGCTGGAGTAGCATGCCTCCTCTCACTGAGCATACTGTCGCCAGGGCAAGAAGCTTACGCAGCTTCGACCTTCCTGGATCTGACCTCAGAGAATTCAGCCTGGGTGGGGCTCCTGGGGAAGCCAGAGCGCCCTGCAACCCCAACTCCACAGTCAGATGTGACTCTCAGCCAGCCAGTAAAACAGAAGGTTTATTATTTATCAAGCGGAGTGCCCCAAGGGTCGGTCCTGGGGCTGGTTTTGTTCAATATCTTCATTAATGATCAGGAAGATAGTGTGGACTGCACCCTCAGCAAGTTTGCAGATGACACTAAACTGGGGGGAGTGGTAGATACACTGGAGGGTAGGGATAGGACACAGAGGGACCTAGACAAATTAGAGGACTGGGCCAAAAGAAATCTGATGAGGTTCAACAAGGACAAGTGCAGAGTCCTGCACTTAGGATGGAAGAATCCCATGCACTGCTACAGACTAGGGACTGAATGGCTAGGCAGCAGTTCTGCAGAAAAGGACCTAGGGGTTACAGTGGATGAGAAGCTGTATGTGAGTCAACAGTGTGCCCTTGTTGCCAAGAAGGCTAACGGCATTTTGGGCTGTATAAGTAGGGGCATAGCCAGCAGATCGAGGGACGTGATCATTCCCCGATTCGAGATTGGTGAGGCCTCATCTGGAGTACTGTGTCCAGTTTTGGGCCCCACACTTCCCAGGCAAAGAGTCACCTGGTCGTCACCTGGTTGCACCCCCTCCTGGGTCTCAGGTTATGAAGGGCACCGGTCACAGCAGACGTGCAGACAGGTGGAGCAACCTGCCCCAGAGGTCTCAGCCAAAGTCACACACACACCCATTCCCACCACCGAGATATCAGTGCAGTACACAGGGAAACTGAGGCACACAAAGTATACATGCAAAACAGTAAAACTCACATAGGCTCACATACAACATAACAAGGGAATATCCCCACTTTATCACAGACTCTGAGGCCCCCTCTACCCGGCAGAGTGGGGGAGAGCTGCGCAAGCAGCTATGGGGAGCCTGGGTCCCTCCACCTGCCCTGGGCGGGGAGCCTGGGGGGTGAGGAGGGGACATGGGCAGGGGGCTGTTTTTGGCCCCAACCTGGGTGTGTGGGGGTGGCGGGCTTCCAGCCCCTCCTTCCCCCCGCACACACTTTTGGGATGGCTCCAGCACCCTTGGTGGTGGGAGATAAGATTTCAGGGAACAAAATGGGAAAATTACTATGAAGAATAATTCCTGTACAAACTTACCTGAGCTTGCTTCTCCTTCACCAGTGGGCTTATCTACATGTGCCAGGTGGTCTTGAAATAACCCAGGGAAGCTTCAAACAGCTCCTGCCTCATGGCATGTTTTGAATCCTCTGCTACACCACGCCTCCACTTCCCCCTCTTGCTCTTTATGGCAGGGGTCTCTGCCTCTGGTTTCTGCAAAGTTTGCATACAGGGGGCTGGTGGGATACCTGCTCTGTACAGCATGCAATTCATTGTAAAAGAATCAGGGCAGCATCACATTTCTTGTCTTTGTCACAGGTCTGGCTCTAGGCACCAGCAAACCAAGCCCGTGCTTGGGGTGGCACAATTTCCGGGGCGGCATTCTGGGCGCTCTCAGAGGGGGGTTTTTTGTTTTGTTTTTTTGCTTGGGGCAGCAAAAAACCTAGAGCTGGCCCTGCTTCCTCAAATGCTTCCTCATATGCCTGGCATAGTTCCTGTGACTTCATACAGCACTGCTGCTGATCCCTCTCATACACCTTTGCCAGAACTTCCCCAGGCAATCTGCTTCTAGAGGTTGATGTTTCTGTGACTATTCTTAGCTGTGCTTGCAGTCTCTTTTACATACAGGCCCAGGAGATTCAATACTGCTTGCCTGCCCCAGCCAGGAGGGTATCTGGTAGCTGTGGGTTCATAAGGCTAGCATGTTCAAACGGTCAGCTGCAAACAACGAATGTGAGGTGATGTGTGCTTGCAATGACGGACAATTAGAAAAAGCCATTTGAAAGATACATAGTTGTCTTTAAAGGGGTGGGCTTCTGGGGCCTGTGATGTCTGGCTTGTGGAGTCCAAAATTGTGACTGCAGCTGCTGTCCCAAGGAATTGTGGTAGAGCAACTGGTGGCGGACCATTAGGCTCCATACAAGTCACACAAGATCTACACATTTCCATTGTCAAGCTAAGTAGATCAATGATGGTGCTATATGGCAGGGAGAGGTGATAGTGTTGCATGGCTGGGGGAAGATGCTTCCCTTGCTGAGAGGCAAATTTTGGAGTACATTGTTGTGCAATTCCCTCAACACAAGTCAGCTCAGGTGCACCTAACTTTGTAGCAAAGGCCAGTTTAAACTTCCATGTAGGCTGGAAGATGTTTTTTTAAAGGGCTACTGTAGTATTGTCTCCCATGCACGTGCTGTGAATGTTAGGGAACTCAGTGGTCTGATGTGGCATGGCAATTCCTCACTGCTACTTGTTCTTTTTCTTCCAGCTAATCTAACTAGCTAACATGTCCATGAGTTAAAGGCTGAAATGCTCATAGTCTAATGGGGCAGTTCTCCTGCATGCATAGCTAGCTCTAGTGCAGGTGTGGACAAACTATAGCCCACAGGCCACACCACGTGGCTCAGCCCCGCTCCAGCCAGGGCACTGGGTCAGGGGCAAAGTCACGCGGCTCCCAGAAGCTGTGACATGGCCCTGTTCAGGCTCCTACGTGCTCTAATGGGAGCTGCAGGGGCAGTGCCTGCAGATGGGACAGTGTGCAGTGCTGTCTAGTGGAACCTCCGCATTGAAAACAGAGAAGGGACATGCCACTGCTTCCGGGAGCCGCTTAAGGTAAGCACTCTCAGAGCCTGCACGCCCTGAGCCTCTCCCTATGCCCCAACCACCTGCCCCAGCCCTGATCCTCCTCTCATCCTCCAAACCCCTTGGTCCCAGCCCAGAGCACTCTCCTACCCCCCAAACGCCTCATCCCCAGCCCCACCCCAGAGTTCACACCCCCAACCAGAGGCCTGACCCCCTCCTGCACCCCAACCCCAATTTTGTGAGCATTCATGGCCTGCCACACAATTTCTATTCCCCAATATGGCTCTCGGGCCAAAAAGTTTGCCTACCCTTCTCTAGTGGCTCAGAGCGCTTCTCCAGAGCCCTGGGCTGAGGAAAACCAGCAACGACTGCCACACCCTCCCCGTCCAACCCCTCTAAAGGCAAAGCAACTAGCCCGAGGCAGCAGAAGGCCTTGGGCGATGGGGCAGAGGCAGGCGCCCCCACCTCCTATACGACTGTCCCCGTTTGCTCTGCGAGCAGCAGGGAAAGGCCAGGCCCTAGCCATGCTCCGCTGCAGCCAGCGCGCCCCGTGCACCCAACATCAGCCAGGCGCTAGTCACGTGGCTCCCCCTCCGCGCCGCCCACGCCTAAGCCGCCTGCGCAGACTCCTCCCCTCGCTTCACCCCTGCGCTTGACCCTGCGGGGCTGCCGTTGAGAGGCCGTTTGCGACCCCTCTCCGCGTCCGCTGCCCACGTGAGCGAAGGGGGGTGCGGCAGGATGGAGGAGGCGGCGGAGCCGCCGGGCGCTTGGCTCAGCGGAGACAGCGGCAACGTCTCGCAGAGCCCCAGCAGCGCGTCGGGCATCGGGGAGGAGGGCGACCCCCCGGAGCTGCTGCTCAGCCGCGCCGCCGCCGCCTACTCCGCCTACCTGCTCCCGGCCGGGGTCGATTTCTGCGCGCAGGTGAGAGGGGGCGGGGCGGGTTGTCCCCTGCGCGCTCCCGTACCGGGGCCTGCCCGCGCGACGGGGCCGCGCTGGGGGTGGGCTGACACCCGCGTGCGGGCCGGGGCCTCCCGGCTCCGAGACAGGCACCTAGGCCGGAACCCGGGCCGGACACCCCCACTCCGAGGTGGCCGTTCGCCCTCTGCTGCCCCTGGCCAAGCCCGCCCGTGTCCCCGGGGGCTGATCGCCCGCGGGCCGAGCCTTCCCACGCGTGGCTGCGCCAGCTGCAGAAGTGTAACGGGGGAGGGGGGGTGTCTCAGCTTTTAAAATCTCAAATCCTGAGTTCTTCTGGTTTTTTTTTCCCCTTCACTTTTTAAAAAGCCGCGTTGTTTATTTTGTGGGGAAAACCCGGATTTCGGCTGAAGCTGGGCCTGTCCAGGGCGGGTCCCCACTGAAAAACAAGGCTGGGGCGGCGGGGGGGGGGTGAGTTGGTCGAAACCAAAATTTAGATAGAAAACCTAAAGCCAGTGGTTACTTACTGGTGGGCCCGTTGTGCTGGGCGCTGCACGCCGAAACGCTATTCTAAGAACTACTTTAGAGATTGAGTTCATAAAACTGAGAAATTCATAAAATTGGATTCATCAGACTCACCGTAGGCTGGGTGCAGGAGTTGCCAGTGCAGGGTGTTGCTTTCACTGCCCCTCAGCACACAGCGGCGAAGGGACTGCCAGTGACTGGAAGGCATCAGAATGTCAAGAGATGTTGACTTGTTTTTCATCAGCTCACTTTCATTATTTGTGTTCTTCCATTGACTGGTTTGTATAACTGGTCATTTGTAACATTAGTGTTTGTTCATTTGAAGTTCTGCTGTTTATAGAAAGTACATGTAAAGATGGGGCCTCTGTCTCAGAGAGTTTAAACTCACAATCTATGTTAAGAACCAACAAGCACTGGCCTTGAAGGTACATCGGCACATTTCATCTGTTACTGTCAAGAGACCTTTACATTGCTAGTGTCACAACCCCTGTTTCAGATCTCTGTAATACTCCTGAGGGACTTCTGCGCCAAAAAATTCTGAGCACAGTATTTTAATATTCTGCAAATTTTATTTGTCAGTAAATAAATGTGGAGGCTCCAGAATGGCATTGGGGAGCACAGGCCACTGGCTGCACAGAGGTGGGAAATTACCCTGCAGCCCCCATTCTCCTCCCACGCGCCCCCCTCCCTTCCCCGGACATGGACTCTGTGGTAAGGCTGCACCCAGTCCTGACACAGTGCAAGGGCCGGGCCTGTCCCAGAAATACCCTGCCCCTCCTCACCAGGTATGGGCAAGCAGACTTAACCCAGCTTGATCCAAGTGTGGAAAGGCTTATTGTGGGGAAATCCAGGTTGGGGTGGGAGATGGTTCTGGATGGGGTGTTCTGGGTGTGGGTGGCTCAGTGGGGGCGGTCTGAGTACAAGGGAGGGATCTGGGTGCATGGGGGGCTTGTCGGAGAATTCCAGGTGCAGGGACAGTGGGATTCTGCAGGAGCGTCCAGGTGAAGATGGTTGGGGCTCAGTGGGGAGGAGTCTGAATCTGGGGGGGATGGGGCTCAGCGGGGAGGGGGTCCTGAGTGCTATGGGAGTGGGGCTTGATGTGGTGTAGGTCCAGATGCAGCTGGTTGGGGTTCAGTGGAGTGGGAGTCCATGTGTGAGACGCTTGGTGGGGTGGTCCAGGTTCAGGTGGGGTGAGGGGGTGGGGGGATCTTGGTGAGGGGGGGTCCTGGGTGAGGTTCAATGGGGTGTCTGGGTATGGGGGGGACCCCACTTCAAGGGGATTGGGCAGACAGGCAAGCAGGAGGGGGGATGCGGACCTTCCTGCAGCTGGGGAGGTTTCTTGGAGTGGGTCTGACCCAGACCCGGCCGTTCCTTGCGAGGGAAGAGCAAGACCTGTCCTGCCCAACCCAGGGCAGGGTAGGAATCACCAGCATCCCCTCCCCCCCATAGTGATTTACTCTCAACCAGCTGCTCCAGGCACCCAAAATGACGCACCCGCGCTGCTGGGGAAATGCACGTGACCACTCTTGCGGCTTTCCTTTGTTTTCCTGTCAGAATTTCTGGAGGGAAACTAAGAAATCTGTGGGGGACGTGAATTCTGCATGCATGCAGTGGTGCAGAGTTCCCCCAGGAGTACTGTAACCAAGACATTAGAGAGAAAAATGTTATTTCTCTGTTGTCACTCTATTTGATTACACTTAGTCTCACCAATTTTACTGTTTCTCCCAAACTGTTAACCAGTTTTCTCTGTGTTGGGCTTTCACATAGTAGCAAGGGAAGGAAGAACGTTTAAAATACCAGCAAAAATGTGATTTGAATTTTTTTATTTTGGGACCTTACATTACTCTTTACTCTGGTTTTTAAAACTGACTAGATTTCAAGGTGATTTTATCAGTAGGCTATTCATCCTATAAGAGTTAAATATAATTATACACCTCTACCTCGATATAACGCTGTCCTCAGGAGCCAAAAAATCTTACCGTGCTATGAGTGAAACCGCGTTATATGGAACTTGCTTTGATGCACTGGAGTGCGAACTCCCTCCTTCCCCCCTCCCCCCCAGCACTGCTTTACCGCATTATATCCGAATTTGTGTTCTATCGGGTTGCGTTAGATCGAGGTAGAGGTGTACTGACATATACTACATACTTTATGCATGAATAGATCTAATATACAGAACTTGTGACTAGTCATTTGTGTAAGTGGTAGTTGCTAAGAAATGGCAAAATAGTGGAGTTTCACTCCGATGTATTTTTCATTGTTGTGATCTGCTATAGCAGGGTTCTCAAACTTCATTGCACTGCGACCCCCTTCTGACAGCAAAAATTACCACATAACCCCAGGAGAGGGGACTGAAGCCTGAGCCCCACTGCCCCAGGCAGGGGGCCTATAACCTGAATCCCACTGCCTAAGTCTGAAGCTTTGGGCCCCAGCAAGTCTAAGCCACTTTGGGGTCCCGACCCAGAGTTTGAGATCTGCTGTGCTATAGTATATTTTTCATTACCTGAATGTATTTTTTACAGATAGAAAGTTTAGACAAGAGTCTAGAAGATTTGCTGACCAGGGTTGATGAATTTGTAGGGATGTTAGACATGGTATGTATTGATCTCTATAACTTCCATATGGGTACTGCCAATTTGGGGGTGGGGAAGGCCACGCTGAAAAAGTTGGGTGGTTTTGGTGGTGGTGTTTTTTTCCTTCATGGGAATAACCAGCATATGATTAACATTAAGGGTCACTTTTTTTTTTTTTAAAGTAGCGGTCTAGGTGTGCAAACAGTTACCATGCATGCTTACCCAAAAATTATCCAGTTTGCCTACAGTGGTGAGATGTATGCACAAATGTAGGTGTGTAACTGATAATGTATATTTGAGCATGTATCTCAAGTCTCCTTTATGAAAATGTATTAGCCAGTACAATGATAAATATTTGAAGGGACACTTCTAAGTCATATTTGGCCCATAAGTTTAATAAGAATAAGTTTTTCAAACCCTAAAACTAATGGAAGTGTTTCTTTGAATTCTAGTGGGTAGACCAGGGCTGGGCAAATTTTTGGTCCAAGGGCCATATCTGGATGGGGAAGTTGCAGGCAGGGCCATGAATGTAGGGCTGGGGCAGGGGGTTGGAGTGTGGGGTGTGGTGTGCAGGAAGGGGCTCAGGGCAAGGAGTTGGGGCACAGGAGGGGTATGAGGTATAAGAGGGGGATCAGGGCAGAGGGTTGGGGTGCAGAGTGCGGGAGGGGGCTTAGGGCAGCGGGTTGGGGTTCAGGAGGGGTGTGGCAGGAGGCTGGGGACTCAGGACAGGAGAGGTTCGGGGTGTGGGCTCCGGCCCAGCGCCACTTACCTGGAGCAGCTCCAGGGTGGCAGCGGCGCACAGTGGGGCTAAGACAGGCTCCCTGCCTGCTCTGGCCCTGCTCCGCTCCCAGAAGCGGACGGCACCACGTCCCTGCGGCCCCTGGGGGAGGGGGGGCAGGGGGCTCCACGCGCTGCCCTCACCTGCGGGTATCTCCCCCGAAGTTCCCATTGGCCGCGGTTTCCCATTCCCGGCCAATGGGAGCTGCAGGTGGCGGTGCCTGCAGCGGAGGGCAGTGCATGGAGCCCTCTGCCCTCCTTCCCCCCTCACCCCCCGAATGGCCACAGGGATGTGGTGCTGGCTGCTTCCGGAAGTGGTGCAGGGCCCATGCCACCACGGGAGTGGCAATCCCGCGGGCCGGATCCAGCCCGCGGGCCGTAGTTTGCCCACCCCGGGGTAGACATTTATAAAAATCACCATGCCCCATGCAGTCTTTGCAACCTAAATGTTACAGTATTAGGCTAGTGCATGAAAACCAAAACATTAAATTCACTGCTATTTGCCCATTGACAAAAATGAGATTTAAAAGCCTGTTTTCATTGAGAAAGAAGCAAATAGGAAGAGCATAAATATTGAAAAGTAAATTAGATTTTATTCTTAATTTTTTCAGTTCTAATAATATAAGATTGCCTTGAAAAATGTTAATGAAAATTAACCTGCTGAGCAGGGCCGGCTCCAGGCACCAGCCTGGCAAGCAGGTGTTTGGGGCGGCCACTCCGGAGAGGGGCGGCACGTCCAGGTATTCGGCGGCAATTCAGCGGACGGTCCCTCACTCCCGC